TGGCCAGGCTGGCACAGCACTGGGGGATGTCTTCCCCCTCAGATGACCTTCAGCTGGGTGGAACTGCACCACAGGTTAGGGCCAGAAGACACCCATCTGTTACCATGGTAGCATCAAACCAGATTAAATTTCCAAACATATGCTCCTGGTAAATTACAAGCTCCCCAGGCAAAGTGGGGGAAGGCTCAGATGATGTGACAGCTCCCTTTAATACATTTGCTCAGCCTTGGAGTTGGATTACTTGAAAATACACAGCTATATTTAACTCCTGGGATACATTTCCAAAAATCCTATGCTAGGAATTCACAGCAAAAAAACATGCTTGTGATGCTTTTGATCTTCCAGCAGGGCTGCTCCCCTGAATTAGCAGCACATGCCCCAGCAGCAGAGCCCTCCTTGGCTTTGGGACTCAGGGAGGCTGAAGCAACAGCCTGGCAGATTTATTGCACCTTCCTATGGCAATGTTTGGACAACACTGGCTGGATAAAACTGCTCAAACCTTTTAGAGGAGCAGGTTAAAGTGGGTGCCTGCTCTCGAAGAGCAGAGACAGAATTATTTTCCATGAGAAAACAAGCAACAAATATTTTTTTTTTTTTAAATACAACAGCTATTTTTAGTTATTTGTACATAAAACAGCAGCTCCCTCCCTCAGTGGATATTATGCACACAGAGAGAGCTGCTCGGGTCATGCAGATGGTTTCAGCTCATATTATTCCTTCCAACCATGAATGTGTGAGCCCAGCTATCTCCTGTAAGTATGAGCCACATCATGGCAGCACTCACACCCATTACATCAATTCATTAAAGTGCTCTTCAGAAAAAGAACACAGAAATATGAATGACACATGCCATACACACGAATTAGTAATGGAGATTTCAACACCTATGCTCTTTCGACAATAAAAAATATAATGTATGGAGCTAGCAAGGATCACACTGAAGAGGGGAGTGGATACCTTTCTCCAACAGCTGAATTAATATTCTTAGTACTGTTCAAGTCAAAACCAAGATCCCCACCATGTTGGAAAATTTCCACACAAATTGTTCCTTAGGTGTCACACACATTACAAAACAGCTCATTATCAGAGCACAAGAAATCAGACAAATATTAAAATAATAGTCAAATTCCCATCACTGGAAGTAAGGTTTCCTTGAAAATGAAGTTATTGCACTGAAAACACAACCTTCATCCCAACTTCCATACAGCTCTTGGGAAGAAATGCTGGCTCTGATCCACACTGCAGTCAGTACAAGACCCTTTGTTTGCAAGACAAACAGCAGTAAGAAGACTGAGTGATATCAGTTTACCACTACAGCTTGGTTTCTGCACCAGGAAGAGATGATTCCTTAAAACTTCCCGCCAACACATTAAAAAAATAAATACCTCCCTTTTGCTGTTTGAGAACACATAGACAAAGCGATCCTGAAAAATATTACAGCCCAAGCACTAACCCACAGGCAAACCACAGTAATTTCCTCCCCTATTTATAGGAGGTGCTGTGGTGTTTGTTAAGCCTACACGCCTTTCTGCTGCTCCAAATTCTTGTCCTGAGCGTCCCACAACTTCCCCAGACATGGGAAGATGAAAGTCTGGTGTATCCACCCACAGGCTCCCCAACTCTTCCTTTCAGCACGTTTCAGCTTTGCTATATTCACACATCTACAATGCAGCACAGACAACTCATACACTTTGGGTTTTGTTTATCATCTTACAAATGTAAGTGGTATGAACCCTTTTGCAAGAGGTAACATTCAGCACTTGCAAAGGCACCCACATGAATAAGAATAATTTGTAATACCCAGGAGGGCAGGTACTAACCTCCCATAATCTGCAAGAAGCCACATGTTAAACTCTAAAATCATGCCCTAAACAAGAAGCAAGTAAGAAATAAAAAACGAAAAAGATCTGTTTTTCTATAAACAAACCATATTAGCAGAGACAGCCCTACTCAGGTTTCTTCACCTAAGTCTTCTTTTCAAGTGTACAGGAGCGGAAACTGGCCTTGACCTTCACCCAGTTTTTAAGGACTAAGCCAACATTTTCAGTTGTTTTTTTTTAAACCCAGTGCTGCGATGCTCTCTGAATGTTCCTGGTCCCAGAGCCTGTGCTCCATACAAGCACATCCTCTCTTACCCACAGTATTTTCTGCATGCAGCTGGAACTAATTACCAGAATTACAGGCTTTTGTTTAGACAAATATCTACAGTATGAAAATATAGAGGTTTGGGGGAAAAAAAACCCTGAAACAGATTTTACACGGAGGACAAGCAACAGAATAGTGTATAATAGATTATATAAAAGCCAGCCAACTCTTATCTGGAGCAAAGGAAGCCAGGGAACTCCCCTCAGCAGAACAACCCAGACAGGATGATGATGGGAGGACAGGTTCTCACCTAAGTAATTTTTCACAGAGCCAGTGGGGTCCTTGTCATGTCATTTTTGGCACTGGAACACGGTTGATAAGCACTGATGGTCCCACATGGTTCTGCAGTACTAAACTTCACTTGACAAGGCTTATTAGCACTGGCTTGGAGCCCGACAGAGCCAAGCTGTCTCTAATGCTCCGTTTGGACCAATTTGCCTGATGCTCTCCAACAGAGGGAACAAGGCAGACAGGCTGGATCTGGCTCTGCAAAGAGCTCCCTCAGGTTTGGCACCACCAGCTTGGGACTGTGCCACATGGAAGTGAAGACACTTCTTTTCCCCATGTCCTTTGATGGATTTGGGAAGACACAGATTTGGTTCAGCTTTCTAAGCTGACACACCTGGCTGGGAGTGAGCTAATTCTTCACAGCTCAGCTCACATGTGTCTGCTTACAGCACTGGGACTCTGCAAAGGGAAAAGAGGATAGTAGAAGATCTTCCCTCTGAGATCTGCTGAATTTCTACACAATGAGCAAAGCTAAATCTCCATTTATTGGTGCTAATTTTTTTACATCCCCCAAATCTCCTCATGTGTGCTGCTCACCTTTCAAGCACTCTAATATGAATATAGACACTTTGAACTGAAAGATTCATTTGAAAAAAGAGTGGACATTACCTAAGTGTCTAGATGGCCTTGCCTCTGCCACCTCTCTGAGCCAGAGTTACCAGACACAAACAGCAGCTCCCACACTCTGCAGGACCCTGTAAGCTGTATTAATAGAGTGCACTGAAATGCAAAGGATGAAGGCTGCTGTACCTAAAACAAGCACTGCAACATGTCTGTCCTGTCTCCCTAAACACTGCCAGTAACTACTGCACAAACATCACCCCTACGAAGATTCCTATGTTCTGCCTTAGAAGAATCATGGAATTATTTGGGTTGAAAGCATCCTTAAAGATCATCTGGTTACTGCTTTCACTAACCCAGGTTGCTCCAAGCCCCCTCCAACGTGGCCCTGAACACTTCCAGGGATGGGGCAACCACAGCTTCTCTGGGAAACAACATTATTTTTACAGTCAGACAACGAAGAGCTCTGTAACCATGTGCACCTGATAAAAGCAAGCCATAAGCATAATTCTCATTTTTCTCCCATGAGAAAAACTGCTGGGGATGCCCAGCTGTGAGTGCAGGTCTGATGAGTGGGGGGGGTCAGTCCCACCCACCACAGCCTCCTGAATGAGCAAGTGGAGTAACATCAGAGGAGGCAGCACAGACCAAATGTCTCCTTCCAGACCTGTCCAGCATTCCTGACCCAGCACACGCTCCCTGCATGCCTCTGGTTATAACTTGATCCAGCTTCCACAAGCAACATGCATCCCACTATCCAACAGAGCAGCACTTCATTGAGAATAATGACTTGAAGTGACTTTTTTAGCTGCAATGTCCTGGAACTGGTTACAGATTCCAGTCCTGAATGAAATTCAGTTCTTACAACACACTTGTGGAACATTAAATTATAGCAATTGTCAAAATTTCCTCATTATTTATACTCCAGACAGCTGCTGTAGCTACAACAAGCAGCAACCACACTCTTCAAAGCAGCAAAAAGGAGCAATGATAAATCTTCCTGATGGCTTGCTTTTTACAGAGCCCTTGCTCCATGGTTTCAACAAGATTGATAACTTCCAAGATACAACACAAAGCCGAGAGAAAAGAGCAGAACGGAGAGTGAGTTTTTACTTAAGATGTCAAACACTCCTTAAATCTTTAATTCATTTTACTACATGAGTGGCTATGGTCACGTTGAAGTCATGAAAGTAGGGGCAGACAGGAACACTCAAAAATAAAAAAACATTAAAAAAGCTTCCCAGAGAGAACAGGTATCCAAGCGTCCCAAAGCAAGCATTTGCAATGCCAAAGGAAGATAACAGAATTTATGTTGCAAAATTACTTTTTCTCAAGATACAGAAGGCAGTAACCTTGTTTGAAGTATCATAAATTTTAAAAGCTCTTCATTTAAATGCATTTTAAAAACAAGTTTTTTATTATTTGTGTTCTTCATAAAATTCTGATGTACCTTTAGCTTCAGCAATACTCACAGCAAATATACTCCTGAGGTATTATTATGCTTTTCATTTTCCTGAACTGATTTTTGGTTCTCCAGATTTGAATATTAAATACAAGCAAGATACAAACTAACTTCTTATCTGTCAACAAATTGCATCTTGAATTTTATGAATTTTTTTCATTTCATTCATATTGCTCATTTACTTTGTTTCATTTCAAAAGATATAGAAAGTCTTAATCATACTTTCAAATATTGAATTCTTTATTTCTATATATTTGTTTAATTATGTGATATTTCAAAAATATAAACTAGCAATGTAAAAATCATCTCAATTGTAAATATGTGGTAAATTATAAGACCTGATTCAACTACTGTGGAGTACAATGGGGCAAGAACTGTAATGTTAATGTTCTGAAGATTATACTTTTAGTCAACTACTGTGAAAAATTAATTAAAAATTGTTACTAAAATTAATTTAAAGTTGTTACTAAAAGTCTCAGACATTGAAGTCCCACCCTGTCACTCAGCCACTCACCCACAAACAATAGACCACTTTACTACTTACCATTTGAGATTTATTTTTTGGGCAGCCATTGATGTCTTCAATCTTTTCATTTGCTGAAAGGCAAAAAAAAAAAGAGGCAATACAGCAAAAAACCTAAACCAAGGGCACTTATTCCAACGATTTCCTGAGCACCTGCTGCCAGCTCAGTAAAGGGGTTTTGGATTGTAGCTATCCAGTCCAAGTGAATGTGTGAAACACTGAGAGCCACAAAAAGAAAAAAAAGCAGCTGGAGTTCGCTACTGGGTTGTGCCTCCAGAGACAGCTGGGGCAGAAGCCAACTGCTCTGACAACTCCTTGTACAGTGACAGGGAATTCCTTTAAACTACAAGAAGGAATTGTACAGTGACAGGGAATTCCTTTAAACTACAAGAAGGATGTGAGTTCTGGAAGCTGAATCACTGCTGGGTGGAAAAGTAAGAACTACACATATAGAGATGTTAGCATGGCAGGTGGTTTGCTTGCAGAGTGAATACAGGTTTTAAATCCAAATGGGAAATTTATGATCAATAACTAATCTTTTTTTTTCTTCTTTTTTAAAGCACAAATCATGAAACATTTCAAGATTCTTGAGCATGGCTCACGTGCCATGCTAACATAGCCAACCTGCAGAAGAGCACAGTTTCCATCTTTAAGGTCAGAGGTAAAACAGTGAAATCTCTGAGGTGGATAATGTTTGCCTTAGAGTCTGAGTTTGCTCTGTTTCACCTTTCAGCCTTGGATGCTGAAATGACTTTGTGTTTTAAGAACCAGTTACAACCAAAGTTCAGTTTCCCACAGTTTTTTCACTGTAATAAAGGCAGGCACTCACATCCCATTTGATTCATGCATTAAAAGCTGTATTTTGTAGCAGTCCCATGTATTCTCAGGATACCAGTCAGAACTCCATCCCCTTCATAGATTCCCTCTGTTAGGAGGATCACATTTGGCATGATATTCCTGTAGCAGTCACAGCCATGAGAAACAAAGCAGTAACACAGCTTCACTCTTGCCTGATAGCTCTTATTTTACACACCCATGACACAGCACACAATGCAATGAGAAACTGATGCTAATCTGAAAGAGACTGCAGCTGAATTCACAGTGATCTCCCCAGAATGGTCCATCAGCCTCTACACATGAAAAGCACACAGTGCTTCCAGGAATGCCATCTCGGATTTGGCCATACAGAAACAAAGATTAATTCATTAAATCCCATTTTCCAAGTCCTGTGCATCCATCTTGTAATATTAAATTTATAACACTTTTAAAAATTGATAGCTGTATTTCTATAGATTGGCACCATTCATAACTACTTGAAAGCAGACTAATGAGCTTGTGAAGGAGCTTTCTCTTGTTTGGTACACATGTACAGAGATACCTCCAAGAACCCAGATCACACCCAGGGGTCTGTATCCATGGATTTAAACACAGCTACTATGTTTATATGGCATTACTAAGGCATACAGTACTTACATATTGTTTTACAGGCTCATAAATTTTGAATTGAAATGAACCAGAATTATGTGAATGCAAGTCAATTTTAATTGACTTGCAAATAGCTGCTTTTGCACACAGCACACCATAACATTAAAAAAACCCCTCTCCTGCACTGCATATCAAAGCTTTCTTACTATGTAGTTAGGAAAAAAGCTTGGATTTTGCAGGCTGCAGAAAAAGATGCTTCTAACTGTGAAAGCCCTCCTCATCTTTGTGACAGAGATGCAGTTGCCTAAAGCCATACACAGCAGAAACAAATTACTTTTCTGCACTATTAATTTGCTGGATTAAACTCAGAATGTCTAAATATGACCTTTCTTCCACATGAAAAAGGTTCTTCGAAGAAGAAATCCTTCCCCCCTCATACTTCAACTTTTGAAACCTTGCAGACCTTATCTTAAATATTAGCCAAAAGGCAGCTATAAAAAAACTGCAAAGGTGATCAAAGCAATAATTGCTTATGTATTTTAGAAGGAATAACTTGCATTTCATAAGGATTTTCACAAGTCAATACTCAAAGAGCTACATTTAAATATTTGGTAGAAGGAACCAAGTCCACATTTTGATGGTGGTATTCTTGCACACATATTCTCACACAGAAGCTTCCTACACCTGTTAATGCAGGGTAGCCAGACAGGCATGAAAGGAATCAACACCTAACTGCTCCTGGGTTTCCAAAAACCTTTTCTATTAAAGGAAAGGGACATAGAAAGGAGCACTGTTCAAAGTGAATACCTGTCAACACACAGTCATCACTTAATTCACAGCCTGTTTTTACACCTCTGTAACTGCAGGGCAGGTCTACAATGCTACTGAGATATAGTGTTGTTCTACAGCAGAGAGACAAAATCTTTTTTAACATATCCCAGCAAAATCACTGCAAGATGTTTCACACTGTCATCCCGGAACAGGGCTTGCAGATCCCTACCTCAAACCCAGAGCTAGCTCCTTTACAGCATCTCAAACACACACAATAAATATGCATGCACTGCTGTCCTGTTCCTTCATTGCTGGCTTCTTAATTTGCATCTCAAATCTGTCAGTTTGTTTCTAACAATGGTTGTCCTAATTCCCATTAGCAGGCTTTCCCATTCCATCCATCTCCATCCGCCCATGCATGTGTTTTGTGGCATTCCCAGCACCAGATGGATGAGCCTCTGAAGGAACTAATGAAGGATCCAGGCTCAAGGGAAGAGGGACAATATGCAGCTCTACACAGAGAAAATTGTTCAGAACTTTCATTATCCACGAGCATTAATGCACTAATTTAAGAGAACTAAAGGCTTTAGATAAAATAACTGAGCCTGCACTTGGAGATTTGTCCAAATGGTAAGTGATTTTCCTCATCTGAAAACTCATTATGAAAGATTTCTTTTTCTGCCACACAAAAATTACACCCTTTCTCCTTTCCCAGCTGTATATATGGATCTCCCAAATCCAACTGGAGGCAGGAGGTTCAACACAGGAGGCAATATCACTGTGAATTACATTCAGACCAGTACCCAAGAGGTATTAGAAATGGTGAGGCCTAACAGCATCCTAGCAGAAAAAAAATATCTCATGAGTCGTTTGTTTTTAACATTCAGCCACGTGGAGTAATACTGCTGTGTCAGGAGATCTTATCAGCAACATCCAATATTTCTCCACTGTAAGACAAGGCTTTTTCAAATTAATTACCAAAGTCTCTGAAGGAAAATTATCTACACAATTCCATGCAGTTTGATGGATAGCCCCCCTTGCACTCTGTGTTAGTGCAGAAGACAAAAACAGGGATTGTCTGACCGAGCTGGTGGATACTTGGCACAAACACAGAAAGTCACTCACCTACAACTTGAATTATTTCAGCTAGCAGGACTCCATCAGTCACATCTTGCTGTAGATCCTTTATCAATCTCTTGTGACCAGATTTTGCTAGATAGTGATTAGCCCAATCCGTATAAATCTGTTAGGAGACAGAAACAAAACCAAACTGTTACTCAACCTGAAAAATGAGAAGTCTTTGTTTCTCCCAGTATCCAAAAGGCTGTTTTCAGACCACTGCCTTTTTCTTTGCCCTCTTTGAAACAAGTCAACAGCATTAAAATTCAAGGTCTTATGCAGATCAAGTGTTCAACTTACTGTAGTATGAATTTTTCTATTCAGCAACCTGACATCAAAGCCCAGGGTAGATGACAGCGAGCTCCTGGACATGTTACAGCTTGAATGGACCATGAGGAGGTCACTGGAATGTTCTACAGCAGCAGTGAGTGCGCACAAGAGATTTCAATTTCCACCCAAGCTTTTTTTTTTTTCTTTCCCGTATTTTCCTTTGACATTTTTTCTTCATAGCTGTTATTGAGAAAGTTTTGAAGGTTCTTTTCCCAAAAATGCTTCTGGTAGATATTAGCCATACAGCAGTTTCATTTTGAGGAAACTCCTTTATTGTATTACCAAAGAAACTTTTAAAGGTCCTAAATATCCACCAATTTTAATAAATTCCATCTCACAGGTTAAACAGGCCCATTAAATCACTTTTAATCTATTATGCAAACTTACAGCTGTTGGAATTTATTTCAAATTATATTACCTGAAAACTAAGCACACCAAGCAGCCAAAATCTCTCTTTAATTTGCATTAAGTACTGCTCATCATATGCCAGCACAACGTATTCAACATCTCCAGAAAACCTATAAAAACTTTTCACGCTAGGTTATCAAAAAGAAGCTAAATTACTTCATTATGAATTTCAGCTTATGAATTAAATAATACTATTCCTTGCATAGGACAATATTCTGAATTAAGATTTTGTAAAATTACCTATTATGTTCCCAAAAATAGGGTCAAAACAATTAAATATCAGGATTTTACCCTATAAATATTAATGTTCACTCCTACTATGAAGAGAGTCTAGAATACTGGAAACACATTCATCCCAACGCAGTCTATCAGTAAGCAGATGTAGATTCCACGCGCTTCCTGGAGCACGAGCCATCCCAACCCTCACAGACCCTACAAAGCCCTGTGGGGATGACAAATGCCTCAACACCAGGCTGTGAATCAGTGACCCAGAGGGAACAACAGCACTGAGTCCCCAAAAACCCAGGGAAAGCCCTCCCTGTGCACTGCCCAGGAAATGCTGGTTTCCCTCACAGCTACTGATAGAGTGAAAGAAAAGAGCACAAGGAGAGGCATGGCTCTCCAGGCCGAACAACTCCAGCTTCAGGAGAGGTGCTGCAGCCCTCTGATCATCTCCATGGACCTCCTTTGCACTCCACAGCTCCACACTCGCCGTATCCCATGGGGCGGAGCAGCGCAGATACCCACAGATCCTCATTTCAGAAGCACCTCCAGCCTTGCATTTCCAGTGTGGACATGATGTCCTCCCTCACAGGAACCAAAAGCCAGCGACCAAGTCTAGGGGACAAGTATTTGCCACAAGACAGAGGAACCTGGATGTAATATAAGGATTGTAATTTCATACTCCTCTTGCACTTGCTGATTCAATGTTAATGTGGTAAAATGAAGAGCAGAGGTTTTGACTAGAGCTGTTTTTGTTATAAAGTCTTCATTTGTGGTTTTTTTTAAACCTGTAAAACACAGCTGGTAGCAGCCATGAACAAATCACTTAATATCTGAAAGATATGCCCTTATTTTCCAGGATTTATCCTTTACCTTCCCCTTCAGAGCAGCAGGATGTGCATTTCCTATGCCAACGGCATCATGGCTTGAACACAAAAACATGCTGGAACACCCCCATAAAAAAAAAAGCCCCAGAGCTGAAAAACATCTCCAATGAAATAAAGGCTGAGTACACAAGTGATTTCCCCAGCTGAACTAGAAAGGAAAAGGGGCAAAAAACCCATGCTGCACAAACCTGACATTGTGTTCCTTAGCTCCTTTTACAAGAAAACATTTTCCACAACAGGAAAATCTTTTAAAAGATTCAACGATTTCAAGGAACTGGTGTTGACTTAACCTACTTTTCTGCCATATGGTTTTAGCTTTCTTATCTAGGAGTGAAAACATATGAGGAAAAAGGTTATAAACCATTTACTTTGCAAGTGCAAGGGTCCAGACCAACCCACCCCCCCCCGCGCCATCCCTTCAATTCAGCTGACAAGAAACTTATCAAACACAATAACCATGTTTCCTTTAATGGGAGGGCTGCAATGAATGTCCTAATTTATCACCGAAGGACTTTCAGAAAATTTAAGATTATACTTCAATGCATCTGTTCCATCCTGGATCATTTCCATGATGCAGATCATCATCCATTCAGACAAATCCTTGCATCAGCCCTACAGTTAAAACAGGAGCAGACCCCTCCTGGCAGAGCCTAAAATCACAGCAAGACCTTGAGTGCTAGTTAGGATTGATTTTTAGTCAAATAACAGCATAAGAATGCTTGGCTGGCATTGCAAAACTACTAGCCTGTACCTGCTTCCTACTGCCCTAATTCCAGTTGCACCCAGGAACACCAGATTATATTCTTATATTCATATATTCAAACAGAATTGCATCAAAGAAATCTCTGAACTCCCTTAATTCTTCCTGATAAAGGAAACAACTTGAAAAACCCCAACCAATAAAACCCAATACCTGCTGCCTGATTCACTGCCTATGATAACACAAAAAGAAATCCCTTCTGATAGCAAATTATTTTTGTAAACCCCACTTTGGGTGCTGAAGTCAGCCTGCTACAAGCAGAGCTTTTATGCTTATTATGAAATGCACACCAGTATGGAGGAACTATTTGGTTCTCAGGTATTTAAGGGTGTGGAAAATTATTTCATCCCACTCGCTGATTAGGAGAGCATTTCACAGGAATGAAATAAAGATATAATAAACCTGTGTTTCTCTTAAAAATGTTATCACACAACATTATTTTGCAATATGTGTAACACGCAAATTATTTTTTAACTGCCTGGGCTATATATTTACAAGCTCTGAAGGATTCCTAGGCATACAATATTACCCAGGCTTATTGTAGTAGCTCCTTATGGTCACCACTGATTTTTATGGCATATATTAAGCAAATCATTGAAACATTCCAGGATGTTTTTGAAACCTGCTTGTTACAAGTCTTTGTAAGGTACTACACAAACAGATTTCTAATGTTTCTTTTCCTTTTCCATACAAACAAGTGGAAAAAAAAATATAATTGCACAATGGCTGCTATTTCTAGACACATGAAATACATTTCAAAACACACAGTGTTTTCAAATTTTCAAAACAGGGAAGTAATTGGAAAAACAATAATAAAAGAAGTAAGAAAACACTGCTGAGAAACTTTCCATTTCTCTATCTCTGCACATCAATTATGAGTGTTCCTCAGGTATTTTCAGCAAATAGTAATGAAGTCATGTTTGAATATTCATGTGAAATTTTGAATATTCATGTGAAAATTACCTGAACAGTTGCCTAATTAAAAATATAAAAATGTTGTGATATTAAATATTCAACCCACTACAACCCAGGAGATATTGCCTTATTATATACACCAGTATGGGCTTTTAAAACTTTACCGTGATTTCACACAGTATGAAAATCACTGGAGGCAGCTTCCTTACAAAAATCAAGTGAACATGGTGATTTGGGCATTATCACCACAAACAGGTCTTTGTGTCCAAGGCAGGTTAATATTTAACTCGGGTCTAAGTCCCAGCTTTTGTTGAAGGTGGACTCAAGATGTTTGGCAGCTTTTTTTCCCTCTGCAGTGTATGATCTTAGGAATCCAATTATCTGGGAACAAATTAAAAACTTATGTGAAAGACCTTTTTCTTCTCACTTTTTCTCTGCCCCTTTGATCCAACAGATTTGAAATAAGAGTATTACAGTTAAGTATCGATTTTGGAAATATTCAGTACATTGAGTCATAGCCAAACCACTAAAATGTAGCACAAAAAAACCCGAGGTTTGGGGGAAAAAGAATCCAAATTCTAAAGATTTTGAAATCTGTCTGTAAAGGAAAGGCCTGAACACTGTCTTCCATCAACAAGATTGAAGAATTTTGAAATTTAGTAGGGTTTCTCCCCACCGTCCTTTCCTTAGCCTCACACCTGCTTCTTTAAAGCACATTTCAGATGAGAGAAGAACCTTGCTTTCCAGCCAGGAGACTGGCTGGAAAATTCTCTGGCACTGAAATTCTCTGGCAGCAAGGCTCCCACAGCATTTGTGTCTGTGCTGAGAGAGCACATCCACCACAGCCCAGCACACCTGAGCCCACCTGCCCTGGATCTGAACACTGAATCACTACAAAAGGTGCCTTTTGCAGAGCTGCTTGGTTGTTCAAGCCATCCCCAAGCACCTGAAGAAGGCTGGGGAACAGAACTGACCAGCAAAGTCAGGATACAAAGCATGAATAAAGTCATGGGAGCAATGAATCCAGGAAGATCCTTTAGAGACCCAGTATATCCCTGGGACTACAATTAGGTTAATGTGTCGGGTATTATCAGTACTCCAGGGTCCCCTTTACATGGAAACTACCTGATGTTTTGCCTGTGAGTCATTATTCTGAAATACACTTCATGAAAAGCAAAGGATTCACATGAAACCGCTTGAAAAGAATGTCTCTCTTCCATGCACGTAGAAAATATGCCCGTATCTCTTCCTTGTTTCTTATTTCCATACACACACACAAATCTAATCACAATCAATGCCCAAGTAAATTTTCAAATCTTTCTCTCCTTCCCTTACCATGTCAGTTCTGAACTAATCAGACTCTGATTGTTTTCTCCCAAGAATTCTCATGAATCAGGCTCTCATGAATCCGGTAACAGCTGAAGAATATCTTTTTGACATCATACAGCATAATTAAAGCAGAGCAAGAGCAAGCAGAGCTTTTTTCACGACTGAATAGCACGGTTAGTCACACCGATGAGCTCCCATTCCAGAAGAGCCACCACAATGCAGTGCCTGTGCTGCTGCTAACCAAACCACACTGCCTGCTGACTTTCACAGGGA